GCGTACTGGTGTATGTTCTGAATAAAGAGTAATACAGATTTCTGTAGGAAATACTTTGTATTTTTCCACTTTTCCTAAGCTCTGTTCAAGCTTCCCACAGGTACATGTGGTTACTTAGTTGGCAAAGAACAAATGTTTGTTACCGTTTTAACGGTATATAAACCGCCCTCGTTTATTAACCGCACCCCTCTTTTTCACCCTAAAAAAAAAAAATTGCTGACTCTTTCGGCAGCAAGCCAGGTCCGTGTTAAAAAACCCACACGGGAAGGCCTTTCATTTAACTGCGAGGTGCAGCTGAATGTGTAAGATCATTAATGTAAATTAAAAAACAGTAAAGGACCTAGATAGGAACCTTGTGGTACGCCATGTACTGGAAGAAAAATTGGAGGAATTATTATTATAAACTACATATTGAGATCTATCAGAAAGATTACTTTCAAACCAAGATGACCGACAAATTTGAGTGTTGTTCTAGTTTCCGAGTTGTGAGTCAACACACCGATTACTGAGCTGGGAGACATTGTCAGGCATAGCGCCAGGTGGAGGGGCATAAATCGAAACTTTAAAAAAAAAAGTGTGGTTAATACACTGTTAAGTACAGTAGTATTTTTGCAACCAGAGGACCAACGGCTTTAGGTCCTTTCTGAGGGACCTGGTGATGAGGATTAATGCCTTTAATACCAAAGGGCACTAGTGCAACGACTTGGTTTCAGTCGCTGGATTAAGAGACCACTGCTCTACCAACTGAGCTATCACGCCTCCTCTACATGTCATCTGTTCTGGAGCCAGAACATATAGTACTCACATGTACAGTACATGTACATGTACTTTATTGAAGAGTTAACACCCTTCTGGCTTAGAAAAATACCAGGCCTGGAACATATGGCATTCATACAGTGTACATGTGCATGCAATTCACTCCCCACTCCTCTTTATTTTCCCCTGAAATGTTGTACTATCATTATTCATTAACATCCAAGTTCAAAATCTTGCCCTGATAGAAAAGAGAACATTAAAGGTATGGTATGGGGTCATGAATTTGGTTCGAATGTACATATTGGAAGCATATGCGATCCTAAAATATTCAGTGATCGTTGTCGCGGTTGAAATCAAGTCTAAAGTTATGAAATTGTAAATAATAAACTCTTTATGTTGTATAGCTCCCTCTCAAGGTCGAGATATTAATTAAGCTATAAAACAACGTTTCTTGACCATAATCAACCGATTAGCAATTCCTGTTTGGAAGTTATATATCACAACTACATGTAAATATTCTGAGTTTTTCATGGTCGCAGCTACCATTGTAGGCCGTATATATGCGCTATTTGAAATTTATCAAAATTTACCGGGAGCAATTTTTCTCGAAAGCAGAAGTGTTTTAGGGGCTAAATTTTCTAGTGCTTATAATACATCCACAGGGGCATCCAAATATATCAGAATTGTAAAGAATCACTATCCACCCAATTTTCCAAATATCCCAAAACTGTTTATTACCTTTGATAATGGATATTTCTTACATGCACATACAACTGTAGTAATTAGGCTTGAGTCGGTACGGTCGATCACACCGGGACCCGACCGTTGCCGTCGGGTCCCGGTTTCGTTTTTTGAGAACCGGTGCTCCGAAAAAAATAATGAAATATGTAAGAAATTGCAGTTTTGCACACCACTAAAATCAATCCACCCTAAAACTTAAGTATTTAATTGTTACCAATCGTATTCTAGCTCATCCAGAATCAATCCGAACTGCTGATATAAATATGGGTTGCAAAGCAGTTCGCCCCATGGGGTTGTTGTTGCCAGCTGCTAGCTATAGCTACTGTACTGGCCGGGTTTGTCGGCAGAATTAATAAATCAGGTTGAAAGAAACATTAATGTTTGAATAATAAAACGACTTTCTAAAAAGTACTTCTTTACAACATACCGATCGAATAATTTTTAAAAGACAAAATATATATTTTTTCTTTGATTTTGAACACCGTATGCTTCTTTTAAAAGCTGAAAATGACTTGGTAATCACAAGAAGTTTCGATACGGATAGCTGTTGCAATGCAAGTTCAGACTAGTCTCGGAAAAATGCGCAGTGCTCCTTGTTAGCTATAATGCGTGCCAGAACGAACCCAAACAAAGACGTGATCGTAACGAGAAAAAAATCATTAAAAACTACGAGAGCACAATTGGAAAGACAACTACTCAAAATTATCGTAAGCAGATACATAACTTGGAGGAAGAATACAATAATTGTCCAAGAAAAGCCACTTAAATAGTGATATTTAATGAGTTACTATAGGTACAATCATTATCGGAAGGGCCTGCTGCAATATATCTAAACGTGTTTAAATTGAACACGAGGCAAATACCGCCCTCTACGGTAAAAAGCAGTATAACAAAGGATTCGAGTATTTGCAGCAGGCCCCTTGCGATAAAAATGTACCCAGTAATTACTCCTCGATTATCACAATTTCTGTGGCATTTCTTGGGCGATTATTGAATTCTTTGTCCAAGTTATGTATCTGATTATGGTAATTTTGAGCAGTATATCTTTCCAATTGTGCTCTCGTAGTTTTTAATGATTTTTTTCTCGTTACGATCACGTCTTTGTTTGGGTTCGTTCTGGCACGCATTACAGATAACGAGGAGCACTGCGCATTTTTCCGAGACTAGTCTGAACTTGCCTTGCAACAGCTATTCGTATCGAAACTTCTTGTGATTACCAAGTAATTTTCAGCTTTTAAAAAAAAGCATGCGATGTTTAAAATAAGAGATAAATATTTATTTTTGTCTTTAAAATATTATATGATCGGTATATTGTACAGAAGAATTTTTTAGAAAGCCGTTCTATTATTCTAACATTCATATTTTTTGACCAGATTTATTCAACCTGCATAAATCAAAATGGCGGCTCGATTGTAGTCTTTATATTTTTGCTCGAGTTTTTTTTACTTTTAGAGGCACGATAATGGCACTAAACATCGCCAATCATGGATGAATATAATGTCAAATGGAAGAATATACCAATCTGTGCCGAGGTATGCATGTGTTGATTTATTTGACTGATAAAAATGTCACTTTTAAGGGACATACTGATGATATGCGCTTTTTATAGAGGCAAGTGACAAATCCTGCGAGCTGATTTCGGGACACCGGGTCCCGACCGGTGCAAGGCCGTCGGGACCCGGTTTATGAAAATCCCGACATGACTCAGGCCTAGACATGTAGAGCAACACAAAACAAACTTTTTTATTCCTTGATCAAACACACCCACACCTGCACTTGGCACACTACAAGGTTAGGAAGACACACCCATCTTATATGGGCAATGCCAAGTTTAACCACCCAGTATTAATCTTTGTATAAATGCAATTGAATAAATCTGTTTATCATAACTGTTATGCTAGATGTCGTTTGTTTGGAATCAGAAGGGTATTAAATCAGTGTTAAAGTATATATCGGTTAATGCCTTTTTGCCTCCACAAGCAGATGATATGGAGCTATTAGGCCAAATAAAATAAAAAAACATGTTTTTAATAGCGTCCTGCCTTTATGCAAAATAGGAAGGAGGAGGCCCTTTTTTTCTTCTTTTTTTCCCAAAATGGCTGCTCGGTACATTTTCCCTGACAGCCTGGCTATTTTTTAAGATGGCCACTGCCATTTTTTTTAAAATCAGAAATAGATCCATTTTACCAGTGTTTTTTTGTTGTTGTCTGAATTAAAAAAAATATATAAAAAAAATAAAATTAATTGACTTGCTATCAGATGGCAGCTAGTAGCCTGGATTGTAGGATTATACCAGCCCCTGCTCCCCCTTCTTACATGTATGTGTGTGTATATATATACCCCTCTCTCTCTCTCTCTCTCTCTCTCCTCTCTCTCTCTCTCTCTCTCTCTCTCTCTCTCTCTATCTCTCTCTCTCTCTCTCTCTTACCCTCTCACTCTCTCTCAATTTGTGTTGAATTAGCGAACATACAACTATCAAATATAGTGCTCTGCCAAACTATAATTTATCCGCAGTGAGAGTGGATCTTAATCCATTGACATTTGATCTAGAGGTGATAATATATATTCATAATAATTATGTAGCTTGAGACAGACTACACATGTACATTGTAGGCCTACGGTATGTTTATTTTCTTACAAAGTGCTAGACTTGATAGCGCTAGAATTCAGACTCAGTTCAACACATGTTTATTGCTTGGAGGGTAAGCCGAGGGTGTCATTCACATATCTAAAAATATAGCTTCTGTGCAGTTTTTGATTTGTATTTCTAAACCACAACTTGATTTACATCCAAAACATAAAAAAAACAAAAACTCAAACAGTAATACCAACATGAAAAGATAATGCATACATGTACATGTACAGTGTATACTGTATCTTGACAGCCCAGAGGTTATACAAAGGACAAGGAAAAAAGAAAAAATGTTGTCTGAAAACAAGGAACCCAATGCCAAAATGAACAAATTTTCTTGTTCACAGACTTTTAATAAAAGGGCATTTGTAGTCTTTTATTACCATTTCTTGTCGTTGAAACTTGATTTTGATTGTTGTTGCCTGCCTGTATATGTAGTTGAAGGAGACTAGTTGGTGCCTGCCCAGTGTGAAAATTGCCACAATTATTTTACAAATTTCATTTTTCAAAGAAACATTGTTTTCCTGAGAAAACCTTCCCTTCATAATGGAATGAAAAGATATACATGTTGATATTAAAGATAAGATGCATGCACACAGTATGCATTTATTATGTACTTCCAGTGAATTGTTTGGTTGCCATGATGATTTCCTATCAAGCTATGATGTTTTTGTCGGGGGGGGGGGGGGGGGGGAATTAGTATCATTTTTTTCTTCTTATTAACTTTTATGTTTGTGTGTATTATGCATTTATTATGAATGGATGTATAATTAATGTATACCCACTTTAATATCTATTAATAGGGGAAAACATGCATTTTCAAATCGTCTGATATGGAATATTTTTTTTATTTTTTTATTTATTTGTGCAGCTTCAACAAGGCAGATACATGGTCATCTCGCTCCTCTTTCTCAAAGGTAAGGAAATAATGATCATTTGCAGACTATAGCAAACAATTTCATTCTACCGGTAACAATTAAATATATTTTTTAGAGTAAATATTTAATTTATGCAGTTTATCAACTCTACAGCTTTATTTCTAATTTTTTTTTAGTAATAGGTGTCCTTGTCCATTAAAAAAGGTATTCAAGATATTAAGGCTATACACACAAATGTATTTGACAATGAGTTATAAGCATACATGTGCTGATGTGCATGTAGAAAGGTGAGCCATTAGCATAATTAGAACATTTAATGATAAATTATTGGTGACATATAAACAAAATGTAATACTCCTAAATAAATTAGAACATTTAATGATAAATTTATGGTGACATACATGTACATGAACAAAAATGTAATACTCCTCCTAATAGTGTTTACTTTTATAAGTGCATCAATCATTCAATTCTCTTGCATTGTACTGTTGTGTTGCTGGTTTCAGCACTTTTGAAATAGTGTTCATTTACTCTGTGATAACTCTTCCTGACGTTGTGGTTATTTATGCTGTCTAAGAATTTGTGTCAAAATGACATGTACATGTAGCTTAGAAGCATAATGCACATTATATTCTGAAACCATATGGAGGTGAGGTGAAAATAATTTCCATTTTTTTTGTCTATCACACCTTTGACAGCTAGAATACAGCAGATGTTGTCTAATTTGATACCAAGACTTGTGAACTTGTTGTCTGTACTATCAAATCTGTTAAAGTGTTAATAATGTGGTATGAAATCTATTGTACTTCCACTCCATATAACAGTCTGTAGTAATCTGAAGCAGACAAACACCATACATAGTTACATACATACATACATGTACATAAAGATCACTTGCTGCATGTAGCTTGTACATGTATGAGCCCTGTGATGTACACTGTGTATTATACACCGTATGTTGCAATACTGACTGGGAGACTGGTAAATGATCATATCTTGTACCTACAGAGTTCGGTGCTAGCACAGCTGATCAACCACTTTGGTGCATGTAGAGGGTTCGAGCAGGTGAGGCAGAGACTGCGTCAGGCCAGGGATCTCAGTATTGCTCATCTAGCAGCTCTCTTGAGGTGAGGATGAATCAATGAATGATTTTTTTTTTTTTTTTTTGGGGGGGGGGGGGGGTAAAATAACCATTTCTGTTCTTCTTTATTTACTCATAATAATATAAACATCTTCACATTTTTAGCATTTGCCTCCATTTTTGGAAGGATATACACTATGAACATGACGGACAAAGAAAGAGGACAAAATGTGTAGAACAGGTGAATATGCATGTGACACCTGTTCTACACATTTTTATATAATAGCAGTGAAGGGATGTTCCTTTGTCTACCACAGCAATTGTTGAGGGTAGAATGAAGAACTGTATATTTTGTCCACTTTCTTTGTCCGTCATGTTCATAGTGATACATGGTTTTCTAATATTTTCTTCTATCTGTAAACGATTATTCAAAAGGTAAAACAAAACAGAAAAAAATTATGTTTTATTCTATTTTTCTTTAAATTCTTTTCCAACAAAATTTTTGTAAATAGTGAAAAATGCATAATTCAAAATAATATTAACATGAATGATTGATATGAGAAGACGAAGGAAGGAGGGGCGGGGGGGGGGGGGGGGGGGAGGTAGATGGATGAGGAATGGGTGAAGGGAGGATGGAATGAGGGAAAGATGAAATTAGGAGAGCAGTGGGATAAGGGATGGAAAGATGGGAAGAATGAATAGAGAAAACAAGAGGAAGCAGGATAAGAAAGATTATGCAATAATAGAAGGAGCAAAATGGAGGAAGGATATGAAAGAACAGAAGGGCAAGTAGAAGGGAAAGTATGTCTGAAGATAAGGAAAGCAAAGGAGAGGGATGGAAAGAATAGGGGTAAAACAAGTTTGAAAGGACAAAGGAATATATTAGAGGAAATAAACAAAGGGAGGAGTGATAGAAAGGATGAAGGAAGTGAGATATAGAAAAATGAAAGAGAAGAGTAAGGAGGGGGAAACAAAGGGAGGAGGGTGGAAATGAAAGCAGGAAAGAAATGATATGGATGATAATGAAAAATACAAGGGGGGATAAATCAAAGGAAAATAAAAGGGATGCGATTAGGGGAGGGGGGAAGAAAAGGGAGGGGATGGAAAAAAGATGGGAGATAAAGAAGAAAGGGATTGTTAAAACTTGGAAATAAAGGACAATGTTATATGAAATTGCACCATAAGTAATTTTACTTTTCTCTTTGTCTTGCAGGCCTTTTGGACAGTGTTACCAGCAGCTTACAGCCGATACAATCAAAAGCTACTTCCTTCCCACTGTGGTAAGTCTTCTTTTTATTTATTTGTTTTTTATTATTAGTTCTTTTACTTTAATAGCTGTTAAATAATGATAAGAATGACCACTACAGTAAAGCATTTTCTTGGGAGGAGACAAGAAACCGCATCACCGTTGTTTTGACATGTTTTACAAAATGGTTTTGACCTGCTACAATTAATGAAGATCCTCGTGATCTAACCTTTCAAAGGTTCATAATTTTCTTTTCCAATGTCATTCATGTTTTTGTAAAGGCGCTATATAAATATTAATATGTATGTATTCAAACTTTCATCAATTGCATTAGATGTTTCTGCTTCTTGTTTGCAGCCCAACTTCATATAAAAGTTTAAATCCCGCTTGATCAAGACAATTTAGGAATTCAAATCTTAGAGAGATCTATACATTTTTTCCACACAGATTGCATTGGGACTATTAAAATTAACTGTTAAAGGGCAGGGAGTTTGATTCTGCCCCCTGTAGTTTTACTTCGCAGAATTTGTTTTCTCCTAACCTCTTGCTTTCATTCATGACTTAAGCCCCAAGTCTGGCGCATCTTTTGGCCCCAAATTAATAAAATTCAGACAATGGGTGTCTGCACAGAATCCAAAAACTTTGCGCTATGAGCGTCAAAATTGCAATCTTCCTATACTAATACACACACAGCCTGATAACATATATTTATAATTAATTAGGCGATTATTCAAACATACTTTGAGCTATGCAAACAAATTTTCATCTTTATATTTGTATTGTTGTTACTCTATTTTCAT